AAGAAAACCTTTCGAACAGCCTTAGTCCGTAAAGTTCCGACCTATCGGGCTGCGATTGGCTCATTCCTACAACGTAATTTTCGGTTAGCGTGGAACGTATCTAAGCGTTATAGGGGGGTCTACTGTAGTGTTACACAAGCAGAACTGCTGGCGATTGCCACTGCAATGTAAGACTGTATTGCGAAATACCCCTATCTATTCTGACATAAAGTGAAAGAAGTGAGAGAGCTGTCCGTATTTCAGTTTACGGATTTTGGCCTTTTGAAATGAAGGAAGGAGTAAAGTTAGGGTTGAAGTATGAAGGGAGGGATAAAGGGAGATAGGAAAGTGTGAAGGGAAGGCATGTGGGCACCATGGCGTCTGCATCGCATTTATTGATTTGTTAAACAGTATACATTAGGATTACAAAGCAATTATTGAAACATAGAATAAGGGTCGCGTATTTACAATGATGAGTTAGTAGTGACAAAGATATAAATGATGGGTTACAATGTAAAAAAAAAACAGAGAATACTAGTATTTACAATATATAGGCACTTAACTGCCCTACTGTAATAACTGTATATAGGCACTTAACTGCCCTACAATTGAGGTGGTGACAGATCTATTGTCCAATACAGGGAAGTCCAGAGGCGACCTGATGGAGGTTAGGATGGGTTGTTGTTGCTGAAGCTGCTGGCGTTGAGGGCAGCCGTGTTGTGTACATAGTCCGATAAGCTTCTCCAGAGTTTGCTGTTGCTAAAGACTTCAGAGGGCTTTGGAGGCCAGTTCTGTCCTTCCGCTAGGCATTTACCCATGAAATGAAGCCTTTTATCGTCATATTTAGCGCAATCGTAAAGGAAGTGTTCGACCGTAGACTCACTGACGTTGTCGCAGTCGCATGTGTTGTTGTCTGCCTTGCCGAACTGGAAGAGATAAGCTGCAAAATTACCGTGTCCTGTGAGGATCTGGGTTGTTTCAGCATTCGGGGTGTAATGGCTGGCTTTTCTGCGGTGAGCAATTGAAGGAATATAGGCGTATGTCTTTCTCCCCGTGTCGTCATTATCCCACTCTGATTGCCAGTCCTGCAGGGCAACGTTAGCAAGCTGCGTTTTAACCCACGAGTGGGGTAGCTTCTCGTAAGAGGGGTTTTCACTAAGGGTGCACGCTTTCTTGGCAAGGTTGTCGGCCTGTTCATTACCGGCGTGTCCCTGATGGGCACGTACCCATTTAAAGTAGAGTTTTTTATTTTTTCCCAGATTATTAGCTTCTGTAATCAAGTCCGCTGAAAGGCCTGTGTAATCTTTGTTGTTGTTTAAAATATTGAGGGCACTCCTGCTGTCAGTGTGGATGCATATGTTACCCTTGTATTTGTGGCAGTTGTCATTGATGTGGGTGATGGCTTTGAAAAGTGCCCAGAGCTCGGCCTGGACATTGGTGCAGTGGGCGGCCATTTTAAGATAAGCTTGGTAACGAGTTTTGTCGTTACTATCCATGATAACCACCCCTGCTCCTGCGCCTTCCGTACTTTTAGAGCCATCCGTGTATATATTCCATTCTGCCTTTATGTGATTATCCTCGTCCATTATAACCGTATAATTACTCTCAATGTGGGGGTGGTTTAGAACGGTTTTATTGGTGTTAATTCCGTTCAGGCCATAGTTTTTGGCGTCATTAGTAATGTTTGTCATGCTCTTGGTAGCCTTCTCGTTGATCCGATTATAGTATCTTGTTTCGTCGAGCCAGGGGAACTGTCCTCTGATCACGGACCAGAACCAGGCCGTGGTTTTTGCCTGGATATGGATAGGAGTGATGTCAGCCAGAACTAGGAGAGCACTGGTTGGGGCCGTCCGATAGGATCTGCAGATTTGAATGACGAATCTTCTGTGGATAGAGAGAAACTGTTTCCTAATGTGAATATTATAAACGGCCTCATACCAGACCGGGACGGCGTATAGGAGGGCCAGTTCCATGGCAGCTATTTACATAATTCAGAACAATGATTCTCACCCGATTACGAATAATATTAGTACTATGCTACAAAATTCAAATGGTGCCTTCTTTAATTGGCCGAGAGGACACCAGGGAAATAGCGGCAACGAAAGAGTCGACGAATTAGCAAAGAAGGCAGCCCCAACCAAGGAAACACCATAATATACAGCAAATTACAGGATTCAACACTATAAAAATCTAATAAAAAATTATATTTTAAAAGAATGGCAAATGATTTGGGAGAACTTCCATAATGAAACAACTTACTCATATTTACTAGACATTAAAAGTATCTACAAGATGAATTGGCTAAATCGATCACAATACAACCCAATTTATAACGAACCATGGCTGTTTTCAAAGCCACTTACACAAATGAAAAATTACTGATTGTGAAAAGTGCTCTATTTGTGACAAAACCGATGGAAGCGACTACTATCTGTTCGATTGCCCTATACAGTATTGGAAAAAGAAAGGAAGGACTTACAGCAAATTTTATGCTACAAATATATAGATTAGCAATGTAATAAGAGCCGTCTCCTGCAAGACAAAGAAATTTATACTTCCTTCAAAACTCTTATAGACTTATATTTCAAACGGACTTTAGTGTAATATTGTCATATTTTTGGAAAGCTACCCAGCCCTTTATTGTTTTAAGTCCCATGCGTTGCGAGTAGTGACAGAGTCCACTCTTGTCCATACTATTCATTTACTGTTACGCGCATTCAACATCTTTTTTGTACAATGATGACTGTATGTAGTTTATCACCCAGTTGTGTAATGCGGTACTGGATATGTATTTATCATTTCTACCTGATTAATAAAAAACGTTCTTGTATAAAAAACAATTAGGAAAAAAACTCGATCTCGAATCCTAAGCCTTATTTGTTAAAATAAATTTTCATTTTTGTGATGATCTCCACTGATTTGATGTTTAATTTATAGTTATACTTGGATTGGAGGCGATCAAGATTTCAGTAGCCTTTTGTCTATTCTAACTTTTGTCACTTCTATACCTGACTTCATTTAAATCAATAAGTTTCCTCTTAAAACTGGAGAGCAATAAATTTGCTGTAAAGCTCGATACTTGCATTGTAAAATAAAGGGAAACATTGCTTAGAATTTTGTTTATAAAAATGTTTCTTATAAACGCCTTTAATACTCTGGATGTCATACTTCGATGTTGACTAACTGCATGTAATTCAATAATTGTCTTGTCACAATTCTAGAGCCCAAAATTTGCAATAAAAATTTGATGAAAAACTTCACGTTTTCCATTGTAAAGTAATAGTAACATTGCTTAAACTGATAGATATAAAATCGCTTCTTATAAATTTTTTCAAACTCTTCTTGGCTTATTTCAATGTTGCTTGACACTATTCAAACTACTAAGCAAGCATTACTAAGCAAGCATCTTATCACAAGTGTTTTTTGATAAATCTAATGAGAATGTCAACACCCCTCTGCCACTATGTGATTAAAAACAAAACTAAAACCAAAGCTGTAAAATCTCTTGATTTAGCGCTTTTAAGCTATAATTGTCAAATATATATATTAGTTTACTCTATTTAAACCAGAAAATGTTTTTTCAACTACGCTTTCGGGATAAGTTTCTCGCAAAAGTCACTATCGCCTGTGAATTCATTATTTGAGAAAGTAAAAAAGTGGTCAAGAAATGAATAATAGTTGATTGTCGTTTCTTTTGTGCGAAAGGAAATAAATATATAATTTATAAATATAGAGGTTGCAGCCGACGTTTTCAGCGCGAAAACGTGTACGTCAGACATTCAGCGCCGCCTTCCTGTGAGCCTAGAAGTTAACAATGGCGTTTGGAACGTTGAGCATGATCCTACTGACGTTCCAAATGCCATTGTTAAAATTCTGGGCTCATAGGAAGGCGGCGCTAAACGTCTAACGTACACGTTTTCGCGTTTAAAACGTCGACCGCAACCACTCTATTATTTCAAATTATTTTTGTGTTGCATACTTACAGAATAATAATAAAGAAATACTAATATAAAAATTGTCGTTTGTGTGTGCGTGTGTATTTGTATTCCTTATAACTCCTGCAATCTTTGTCCAATCCAGATGAAATTTTAATTATATTTGTTTTATGTTCTGACAGAAAGTATAGTCTGTAACGGACAAATTTCCCGATTGAACTTGGACCAAATAAATCATCGACTCAGAATGAATATCCATTGCTTCGAGAGTCAGAACTGATAAGATAGTGCATATATAAGTGGGTAGAAGAAGAAAACACCTTCACTTTGTTTGTTACTCTTTACTTTGTTACTTGTTACTCGTTGCTGAATCGTCTGCTAGAACAAAGCAAGAGAAAACGAATTGGAACTCCATAATAGACTGAAGCTTGAGGCAGGGACTTACGAGTGTCAACGACTTTAGACTTGTACCCCCTGTTAGCCTAACATAAGCTACTTATTGTGCGGAACTATTAGATGTAGACTAAACGTTTTATCAATTTCGGATCCGTGATCACACTACGTTGCAGTGATGTTGGTAACCGCGTGACGTTCATACACGATGTAACTATCGTTTAAAATACGATAGCCTCATCGTGTCACTTCTATAACAAAACTTTTAAAAATTTATTCTATAAAGATCACTTGACATTCTATTAAATCGGAAGTAACAATCTAACGAGCCCGTTATTTATAAAATGTTATCGCTAATCTAAAACTAACATATAATACAGTAGACCCCCTATAACACGGTAGATACGTTCCGTGTTATAAGGGGATCTACTGTAAATACAATTAATCTTTGTTTTATCAACGTGGAATTAAAAAGACTCGCTATTTTGTCTAGGGGAAAGCGTAAGAGTAAAATTGGTCAGGTAAATTCTAGATCTAAAAGGTTAAGAACAACCGTAAGGTTCAACTTGACCTAAAGACCGTGAAATCGAACTTGAACAACATCGAGTGAGAATGGCTTTGTCAAGTGCTGCAGGTACAACATCAGAACATAAAGCTCGACTTGAAGCTCTTCTGAATTCTTCAATTTTTACTTTCTTATAAAAATATTCTGTTAAGGTTGACAGGAAAATTTCTACTATAATAATAATACTAATCGAGAATAAGTTTATTAGCATCATTTATGTTTTACATTCATTCTCTATTCATTTTTGCATAAGGATAATCCAATGCAACAGAGCAAGTGCAACTCAAATTTATTATGGAAAAAATCACTGTTTCAGAATGACAGCGATTTTATAATATTGATATATTGTATTGTGGTTCGCAATGCGTTACATATAATATAAAAATTCATTTATATAAGAAACGATGCAAATTGTAAACTGTTTGTCTTTGTCTTCTTTGTAGCAGAATTATTTATTTATAATCGTCAATGCTTTTATTTAATAATACAGTCGACCCCCCTATAACACGGTAGATACGTTCCGTTTTTTTATGAAATTGATGTTTTAGGAGACCTTGCCAATCACAGCCTGACACGTGCGAAATTTACGGACTACGGCTGTTTGTAAGGTTTTCTTCCATAAAATTAATCGATTCTAGAATAATTCGACTTAACATTTCCAAAATACGCATATTTTTTGGGGGAATAATCCGTATAAACTAAGCTATAAACAAAAAATTGTAGGATTACTTACCGAGCGTGCACCGTTCGACGTCGCCATTGCTTAACGGCGGAAAGTATATATATATAATT